CTCTCCGATGACGCAGTATTGGTGTTGGGGGCGGGGGCCATGGAGAAACTTGGGAGCCTCATTACTGTGGCTGCAGCCCCGCCCTGGCTTGTCGGTGGTTTGTGCTCCTCCTGCTCAGATAAGATGAAGGAATGGGATAAGGTCAGAGGGTGGCGGGACAAAAAGAAAATAAGGGGAGAAGCACGGTGAGGGGGAAATGCGGATATCAGGTAAGCCTGTGCGAAGAGTGGGAGACAGTAGGCAGGGGTGACTCGCTCTCAGAGTTCGGCAAAAGTGGTGTGAAGAGACAACGATACGGCATCGCCGACATTCGGAAAATGTGAGTGAGCTTCAGCGAATGGCCAGTCAACTGTTTATCACGCGAAAACAGAAAAATGACCGAATACTGGCATCTACCCACAAGGTGACGTTCATTTCTGGATATCAACTGATTATGAGTTGAACTCATAGAAACAATCTGGAACCATACAAATATGTTCAATTACACATCGGTCTCAAGGTAGGCGGTAACTCCGCTAAATAGAGGACGAGGACGAGGACAATGAGCGCTCTGGTGGTGCTTGTTTGATGAGTTATTCCGCAAGCAAACTGCTTTCGCTTGTATATGAGCAGTGCTGCGTCCTGTCTGTGGCACAGTGTGTGTGTGTGTGTGTGTGTGTGTGAGGGGGGATTGCATCAATTTAGCCGGGTTCACGGCAAAAACTCTCTTGCTATTCATAACTTTAACTTATTATCTGAGAGTTTACAAAGACAACTGATTTATTATATTCTGGTCATTAACCTTGAACCAATAAAGGCTCATAAAAAATTACTTTACTTCGGTTACGCCATAATACCCCAGACAACAACAAACATACATCGAGCCGCATTAAGTCCCGACGCAGCCGACGCTGCGAACTGATAGAACTAATCAGAGAGCGTCAAAAGAGCACAATCATTCTGTTCGTCACGTTTCTGTACGTGCCCTATCATCGCTGAACCAATCATAAACAGAAAAAGTCCAGTCACCTGTGCTTTTGACGTTGCTTGATTGGTCCTATTAGCTCGTAGCGACGGCTGTGTCTGGGCTTAAGCTGAAACGAAGTATAGTCAACAACAAGAACAAAAAAATGGCTTATAATATGAAGTTGTAAAATTATACTTCGAACCTACCTGTCGATAACACTCTAACATTCCAATGGTCCCCAAATACGGAGAGCAGGTCGTCTGCTTTTTGCGCAGGAGTTGCTGTGACGTCAGAACGATGCCTAGCTGTGATGGGCTCTGATTGAAATAATAGTTGGTAGATTTCAATGCTAGATGCCTTGATATCTACCCCCTATTTTTTTTAGCGGTTCTTTAACCGCCAAAGAAAAATAAATGTATGGTTCAGCCACTTCTCCGGACGTGTGTTTTAGCGGCGAGATGTTTTAGTGGCGCCCTCCTAGGATTCCCTCTCGTGACGTCATTACCTCGTGGGCAACAGGTTTGGTGGTGTTTTTAATGAGCATGGTGGAAGCTTGAAATCATTTTGCTCTGAAACCAACACTGCCAACACCGCCAAAATTGAAGTTCTTCCATTCCTCTTATTTCCGTCGATGAGAAATCCTTTGCTGACGTCATAGCCAGCATTCAACCAATTGTGGAAGGCTGATCACAGCGACGCTTTCGATCGCGCACGTCGCCAATACGGTTCAAAATTCCTTCTGGTACAAAAAAGGGAACAGGCACATTTATGTGCCTGTTCCCTTTGACACATTTATATGTCAAAGAGCAGCCCAGCTCTATGTACCCAGTGTGGTGCAAAACTGCGAAGACTGTGAGGTTTTTGTTATAACTCTAGAACTTTTTTGTTTTAGGAACACAAGAGGGGAAGGGGGCACGCTTACTAGGAAGTCGCGCACCGCACTTAAGTCAGCGAAGAACTGCAATTTGGCCACCCCTGACATACACCACTACAAAGTTTACAAATCCACAGTCCAACGAGCACTGCAATTTGAGCGCGTGGGTCGGTGGTGGGGAAAGAGAGCATAGCACAGGCCGTACACACAAACGTTTGACATAGCACATACGTCGAGACTTTTATTGGGACTATCTGAAGAACTATACTTCGTTTCCCCGTAAGGCCAAACGCAGCCGAAGCTACGAGCTCATGGGACCAATGAGACAGGGTCAAAAGGGCACCATCTTGGTGTTTGTCATGTTTCTGTACATGTTTTATAATCAAATAACAATCATAAACAAAAACAAAAAAAACTCAGTGACTTGCGCCTTTGACGCTACTTGATTTGTCCCATCAGCTCGTTACGTCGGTTGCGCCTGGACTTAAGCTGAAACAAAGTATACTTAGTTTCGTCCAGTTCAGTGTAATGTAACTTGAAGGCGGTTTTTTTAGAGGGAAACGATTTTTCAACTTCTTCCTACTTAGCTTTAATCCTCAGCCCAAAAGCGAATTGAGAAATCACGAAGTCGTGACATGATAGGGCACCGGTACGATGACTCCAAGCTTCCACAGTGCTTTTTAGGCGCACCATGTAACTTGTCATTCGCAAGTGATGAAAAGTTCCGTCACGGCACTCATTGGCCACGAACGCGAATTCAATTATTCGTTGTCGGATTGATCGTTGACGAGCGAATACGTCGGAGTGACGTTGTTCTTGTGTCTAATGCGTGAGCTGGGGTCGGCTGACATGCTTTGGTTACCGCGGATGTATCATAGTGGAAAGGCGGAGAGCTTTCGAAGGAAAAGAGGTACGAAAGAGCCCACTATATTTTCAAAAGTTGGTACCTGAAAGCTGGCTTTTGTCTTTTTACCCTATTTCTTTTGGCCCACTAAACGGTATACAATTACTAAAGTCCGAATCTAAAATTATTTATCTCAGCCCAAAAGCTATTTCATGGCCCTTTTAATGTGTTACAAAAATGAATATTACGAAAAATTTTAAAAAGTCAGTACGAGATTGTATAACTTTTAAAAGGCGCACCTCCTGCTTCTCACAAGTAGCGTTTTTCTAGTTTTTCTTTTAAGCGCTTTAAGAAGCGAATGTCGGCGCACAGCAACAGAATGAACTGAAAGAAGGCAATTTCTTCCTTTAAAGTGCTTCGTCATGCGTGTTGGTTGTCGTTATTTGTAATGCCGCGCGCGCAGCTGGCCAAGTAGGCAGCGCGCGCGTGGCCTAACGGTTATCGCGCTTGCCTCCCACGCAGAAGGCCAGGTTCGGTTCCTGGCCGCGACTACACATTTTTGTTGACAGTGTAATTTTATGTTCTAGTGAATTCGAGAACCGTCTTGCTGATTCGAGGTTCGAATGTTCTACACACCGAACCTTCTACGCCGAACGATCCAGAAACCCACGAGGGTACATAAGGGATTCCGCAAGGCGAGCGGAGTCAGTTTCGCCCCAGCGTTCGACTCTGCTGTTACGCCGACTTTGACGCCCGCGACGCTCTCTTATTATCTTTTGTACCCTTTAATTTTTGGCACAAGTTCGCCACATTAAACGTTTATTTATTCCTGTTTATTTCTTGTTTATTGGTCACCACCCGTGACATTTTGGTGGAGGTGACCAATAAACAAGAAATAAACAGGAATAAATAAACGTTTAATGTGGCGAACTTGTGCCAAAAATAAAAGGGTACAAAAGATAATAAGAGAGCGTCGCGGGCGTCGAAGTCGGCGTAACAGCAGAGTCGAACGCTGGGGCGAAACTGACTCCGCTCGCATTGCGGAATCCCTTATGTATCCTCGTGGGTTTCTGGATCGTTCGGCGTAGAAGGTTTGGTGTCTAGAACATTCGAACCTCGAGTCAGCAAGACGGTTCTCGAATTCACTAGAACATAAAATTACACTGTCAACAAAAATGTGCAGTCGCGGCCAGGAACCGAACCCTGGCCTTCTGCGTGGGAGGCAAGCGCGATAACCGTTAGGCCACGCGCGCGCTGCTTACTTGGCCAGCTGCGCGCGCGGCAATATACTATCAAAATACCTTAATTCCAAGCAGTAATGTGCTGTTAAAGAGCTTCGAGTAGGACCTCATTCTAAAGGGGCTGACAACAACCGCGCTTATCTAGCAGCCAGGTCTGAGGCTTCCCTGCCAAGAAGTGACCCAGAAACAACGTCCGTCACGTGACGACAAGAGCCCCGAAACCCAAGCCTCTTAAAGCCACCCGATGACGTCACGGCCCGCCCCGCGATGCCTGTAGAAAGTGGAAGGAGGGAAAGAATAAAGCCCTTTGGCAGAGCATATGCGTCGCTTCCCAGAGAGCAGCAGTCGACGCCGTTCCCTGGCGCTCGCTCAATCCGAGGCATTACCCCGGTTGGCTTAGGGAGACTCCGGAGAGGCCGGCCTCGATGGCTTTGGACCCTGGGCCCGCTTCGTTCAATACCGAGATGGGCCAGAAATTCGGCCGGGGCTTTGTTTCTGTTACTTGGCTTGTCTGCCAGGAAGGCTCGCAGCCGTTCACAGCGAGGTCGATGCTTGCTGGGCACGGCAGGCGGTCGTCAGGCGAATGGATAAGGAGCTCGGAAAGACGGAAGACCGCAGACATCGCGAGGATAGTTTGCAGGTTTGCGTTGGGGTAAGGCGTATGCAACATACGCGATGTCTTCGATGTTTTTGGGCTAGCTCGGGGTTTCTGCGAAGAGCTAAAGAAAGGGAAGGGAAGGAAAAAACCTGGGAAGCGACTACAGGCGCTTAAGACAGCTTCGTTTATCGGCGGGTTTTGTGCGAACTATGAGTTGCTGTAGTACTATTTCTTCTTATCCTCTAATAAAAAAAAGTATGGGAATAACACAACTTGCGAGTAATAAAGGACAAAAAATAGATGCTCCTAATAGCTGCGGTGATGTTCAAGTAAAGTAAAATAGGCAGGACATTTCTTGATTATAATGCAATTAAATGCAAAGGTGCAAGCGAGCTGGACAAGAATGATGAAAATCATCCCTGGAGAAGGGAAGCAAGAGGGACAGAGGACAAACACAAATCTCCAAACACAGCTAGGTGACAGCGCGACGGAAGAAATCCGCCTGGTCCGGGTATCGAACCCGGGACCTCTCCATTAAAGGTGGAGCGCTCTACCAACTGTGCTAACAAGGGGTTAGACGTCAGTAGAGCAAACGGGTTTTATCAGCTGCCACCAGTCTAACACCAACAAGGGTGAAGCTTGCAATTTAAGGTTATGATTATAATGCAATTAATTGCAAAGGTGCCTTCCTGTCTCTTTCACTTTGCTCAAGTCTCGAGTGGAATACTTCAGCCGCCTCGAACCATACTCGAATAGAATGATTAACTTCAACTTCTTTTACAAAAGATGTCGTACAAAAGTGCGAGAAAGAAGCGAATGAAAATGTTTCGCGTGCTTAAAAAGAAGCAAAAAATATTGAAGAATAGTAAAGGCCCTGCTGGCCTCTAAGATTGAGCAGTCATCTAACATTCTCCACAACCAAAAAAAAAAAAAAGAGGTAACAAATTGTGTATTTACATCGAAAGGTGGTTACAACTAAAATGTTGTGACCATTTGTGTTATTCAGTTAGTCATATCGTATCTTTCGGTACAGCTTTGGTTTATGAGTTCGTGCATCGGGAGACAGTCTTGAAGTTCCGAGTTAATCCTTGCTTAGTTTGCTGCCACGTTTACTATACAAACGTTTTGGCAGTTTCTGATGCAGCTGGATATGCGGTCCCCTTTTAGAATAAAGCACCAGAAGGATGGGGCGTTCATTCTTGCAGGGTTGAAAATACTGCGTGGTATACTGCGTTGGTTTCACAATCTTCCTTCGTGCATCACGTTTTTTTTTTGTTTTTTTTTTTTTTAATTATACCGTTTAGCTGATGCTCCATCTGTTTTAGAAGTTATTCGCAGGTGTTGTGCAAGACGAAAAAAAAATTTTTTCCGAGTCATGCATTATTTTGAACAAACTGTGCGATAGTAGTTTTCCCTCCACATACCACAGAGATTTTTCTTTTTTAATTTTATAGGGTTGAATAAAGAAATTAATATTTCCCTCGCTTGGCGTAAGTTTATTCGTGGCGAGAAGTTTTGGTATCGTCGCCGGGGGGAATAGTTTTACAACCCAGAGTGACGATACTTCAATTTCCTCTGCTGGTGCAAGCACGTGCAATGCCAAGCTTCATTGCACTATGAAAATTAAAACATAACCGCATGGGTAGCGCGTGCGCTACCCATAGTGAGTAAAGCAAAAGTGCCCCTAGCGTGCTTCTCACCGCGAAGACTGCAAAGGAGCTACAATATATTGTACCGCTGCAGAATTTGTGCAACCTGCGTGTTTCTCGTTTCGAAATACACTTGAAAAAACTCGGCAAGGTTTTTTGTTCGGCTAAAGCCAGCAATGGTACACGTTTCTCACGTTGAATGACAAACGAAAAATTAAAGGGCGCGAATCAAGGAGAGAAGTAGGAACAGGAGTGACACAAGGTTATACCGGCAATTAGCTTCAACGAGCTAATTACCATAATTACGCGAGAAACCTCCGCTTTCCTCTCTTCCCGCTGCCTGAGACAGCCCGTCCGTTCACAGCCGGACCGGGTCGCGTCTATCCCAGACCAAATCAGCGCGTGCACCAAACATGAGGCGCGTGCGCGGTTACCGTCCGGAAGCAGGTCACGCGTGTCGGCCAAAAGGGTGTCTCGGACGAGTCCTCTAAACTGCCGGCATCACGAACCTCGCGGCGACCAAGCGCGACCGCCTCCGCACTCCAACGGGCGGCCACGTGGCAGCGGGCCCATCCACATGACCCATCACGAACGTGCCCATCAGCGGCCCCCCCTCCACGCTTCTCGGCGGCGACATCCCTCAATCGGCACGCCGCGCACACAACAGGCGGAGAGCCAGCCACTCGACGCGCTTCATCGGATCATCATCGGCCCCGCGGGAACACGTCGGCCGCCGCGTGAACACGTGCGCTTACAAAATCTTTCCGCTCCCGGCCCCTCTCTTCCCCTCTCTAACCCTCGTTATTAATCCCAAAGGAAAGGCAAAAAACAAGCGAAAACATGCGTTCCCTCACCCATCTCCCAACATAAACACACGAAACAACTACAAAATAGCTCCGTGGCCGACTATGCGAGTCTTTCTCTCTGTGCGTGCGTGTGTGTACTTCGTTTCACCTTGCGATGGAACGCAGAGGACATTGCGGGGTACCGAAACCAATCCAATGCCGTGTGGGTGTCGCGTGACCTTCTGGAGGAACGCAGTGACGAGCGGGACTCGCAGTCACGTGACGGATTCACAGCGCATGGATTGGCTCACATGGTCCTTAACGTTGTCCTGCGGACCATCGAGGGAAGGAATATAGGGATCGGGAGTTGGGGAGAAACGGGGGTGGGAGGAAGCGGAGCGGCGGACCGTGCACCCCCATTTGGGGTTGCGCGCTTGTTCCTTTTTTTTTTTTTTCTTTTGGGCGGGGGGAGGGGGGGGGGAGGGAAGGGGGGTTAGCGTCGAATAAGGGCAACCTGGGCTCTGGATAAAGGTTCACCCCCTCGCCGGCTCAGGTTTTATCAAGCTTAGGGCAGTGCATCCGCTACCGGAAGACACGGATTAGAGCTGGCTGAAACAACAGATCGCGCCGTCCGTGCGTCGTCGTTCGTGCAAAGAGGTGTGCCTCATGCCTACCTTTTTTGGCTTTTTTGTTAGTTTTCTTTGGAGAGCGTATTTGTACGTTTTTATTGAATGTCACTGTTTGCGCAAAACGAGCTACTACTTGGGCTTGATCTGACCAATTCTATTTCCTATTTTTCTCTTGACGCGTTAATAGCGCACGTACGCGATTGCAAGGGCCAAGGAGTTCCTGAAACGATTGTAACGATACTCTTTTCAGAATGAGGTTCTGAAATGTTTGCTGTATAGGTCTTTATTACTTGTTTTTGAGTTTGCGTGCGAGCTTTTACTTATAGGATTACGATGGATGAGCGGCTGCGTCCTTTTGTGTTTTCCTATTTCTTCAAGCTTCGGACGCAGCACATGCTTTGAGAACATTAATATATATTTCCTACACGTTTTAGATGGATCATGCGTATTGAGAGGATGTAATCCATAATCCGAAATTCGCAGTAAAATATGAGTAAAATGGCTGATCATAATAAGAATTCTTGGTGTCTGCATACACACCGTGTGGTTCTGTGCCATTCATTTACTACTCTGATTTGCATTTCTAGTGTATAGATATGAAACGTAAATAGCGTCATTTAATTTTTCGTGGTCTTTTCAGCTGTTGATATTTTGTTTGTCAGACGCTTCTTTTAGCTTTTTTTAATTCGTTTGCTGACTTTCGTGTTTTCGCATAGCCTGTATAGCTTCCAAAATTTGAATGAGTTTTTTTATGCACTTGATTACATTAATTATTGATAATTTGCTTAGTTTGTCTCGTTAAAGAACCTTTTATTGCACTTTCTGTTTTAATGCGAAAGCATTAACTGTCTTATGCAGCGAGCTGACGTCATCAGTTTGAAGCGGCGAAAACGACTCCTAGTTTCCGCCGCGATCCCAATATGCGATTCGCCTTCGGTTCCATTGGCTGGCGCGCGTCGACGGGGCTCCCATTGGCCGCTGCGCCATGGTGTGATGATTAGAACGGGACATAGAAGAAAAGGAAGAGAATATCGCAGATGGGACGGCTACAAGCTCGTGCTGTGCGGTTTTGGGGTTGGACACAGAAGAAACGAACACAGCTAACGCCGTGGACCCCAGCAGCCAAGTGATGTCCCGGACGGACGTCTGAGGCCCGTGGGGGCACCAACCAGGCTTGCCGGGAACTACCGCCGGCACCGCACATCGAGCCCTCGCCATCCGGAAAACGCCTAGGGCCTCTGAGGTTCCGACAACACCAGGATAGCTAGGTTCGACATTGTACATGTACCTTTTTTTAGTACACGGAAGTGACGTCATCACGTCTGATTGGTTGGAAGCAAAAGTGACGTAATTTCCCTAGAAAAATGTGGGCGGAGTCGGCAAAACTGGGCGGAGTTGGCTACCGGACGTGACAACAAAATGACGTTTCGTTTTGTACCGAGTACGTTTCAAAAGGTACTTGCTCGGAACTAGGTGTCATTGGCAGCATGTTTTCGGCGGCGAGGCGTCGCCGTCTCGTCAATTCGTCTTTTTCTTCAATAGAGCTTTTTTTTTTCGCCAGAAAGGCTGTATCGGGAACACCGCGATGCATTCGAGCGCCCGGAGGAGATCTTTTGGAAGCAATACCGCCTGCCCAAGATCGTGGTGCGGTGGTTGTGCGACGAACTTCGCGAGGAACCGGAGGTGGGGAGAGTGCGTACTTCGTGGACGGTCATGACTGTGGAGCTTCAAGTGTTGTGTGCACTGCGCTTCTACGGCACGGGGAGCTTCCAAGGCATGGTGGCGAGCGACGAACACGTAGCGCGGGACCAAAAGACAGTCAGCGTTGCGGTCCGCGCCGTGTCCGTCGCTATCGTGCGTCGTCTCGGGGTCCAGCGTGGCTGGATCCACTTCCCCGAGACGCCGAGCAAGAGGTTCGACGCGGAGAAGGGCTTCAGGCTGCTCGGCAGGATACCCGGCGTCATCAGTTGCGTGGACGGGACCATGGTCTCCATCGTCGGCCCGTCCAAGAACGACCCCACCGTCACGAAGGCGGCGTACTGGTGCCGCAAGTACTTCTACGCCCTCAACGTGATGGTGGTAAGTACACCGGGCTCTGTATTACCACCCTTCAACAGCCACCGCCATTATTTCGGCATGTGCAGTGCTCCACTACATCTGCCTTGCATCGAGCGAGCCAGAACCGGAGTCAGACTCCGACCCTGACGAGTTAGAGTTGGAGTCTGAGCCGAGCTCGGACGGTTCTGAGCCGAGCTCGGAGAGGTCAGCGTCGGCTCCCGAGAGGCTGGCTCCTGCCGGCCCTCCGGTCGGCCTTCCGGTCGGCCTCTCGGACAGGGGGAAGGCTCTGAGGCAGCGCCTTGTCGCCCGGTTCGGAACCCGCCGCAGACGTGCCCGTGCGGAGCGCCACACGCAAGGGGTCCGCCGCCACGACGGTAGTCCCGACCACCAGGGACTCCGTCGGGAAGCCCCTCAGCGCCCTCGCTGCGGTGGTGCCCAGCACGGACGCCGC